CCATTTTTAATCCCAAAAAAATCTCCCCAAAAACCCCAAAATTCTCCCAAAAAACCCCAAAAACCCCAGAAATGCTTCATTAATCGCTAATTAACGCCTCATTAATCGCTAATTAACGCCTCATTAATCGCTAATTAACGCCTCATCAATCGCTAATTAACGCCTCATTAATCGCTAATTAACGCCCCATCAATCGCTAATAACTCATTAAAAGCTAATTAGCGCCTCACTAATCACTAATTAATAACATGTACATCATCAATACCTCGCTAATTAATCATTAGTGGCCAATTGGTATCACATCAGTGGCTAATTAATAATCAACATCTCATTAAGTACTAATTAATGCCTCGCTATTGCTAATGAATATTCAATTAATGGTTAATTAGAGCCCAATTAATCTCTCATTATCATTCAATTGGTGGCTCGTTTAGAGCTCATTAATAACACTCATTAATAACTAATTGATGCCTTATTGATAATTAACTCCTTATTAGCAGCTAATTAAGGCTCGAGTATTCGCTTGTTATCATCCAATTAATTCCTCAATTGCTCATTAATATCTGATTACTCATTAATGACCAATTAACTCATCACCACCAATCGCGAACTAATTAATACTCAATTAATGAACCATCTAATCAATATGCAGCCAAAATCCAGTTAATTAATGATCAATAACCCCCAAATCCCCAATCAGCGAGCAATTAACACCTAATTAATGCAAATCAGAGTTAATAACGGTTTAATCACGAATTAATAACCAATTATTGGTTAATTAAGGGGTAACTAATGGGTAATTAACGGGTAATTAATATGTAATTATTAGGTAATTGATAGGTAATTAATGGGTAATTAATGGGTAATTAATATGTAATTATTAGGTAATTAATAGTTAATTAATGGGTAATTAATAGGTAATTAATGGGTAATTAATGGCTAATAGGTAATTAATGGGTAATTAATAGGTGACTAATGGGTAATTAATGGGTAATGGGTAATTAATGGCTAATTAATAGGTAATTAATGGGTAATTAATAGGTAATTAGCGGGTAATTAATGGCCATTTAATGCGTTATTAATGTTTATTGATGTAATTAGCTAACATCTCATTGGAATACGTTAATTAGCGGTAATTAATTAACCGGGAAATCCCGGGCCGGGCTCCGGCTCATTCCCGCTTTTTCCCATTCCCGATTTTCCGATGGAATTTTCTCCTTTTCCAGGGAATTCCGGGGCCATGGACGTCGAGGGCTGCGGCTCCTCCTTCATCGGCGGTGAGCCCACAACTCCCGGCATTCCCACAATTCCCGGGATTCCTGACATTCCCAACATTCCCGACATTCCTGACATTCCCGACATTCCCGACATTCCCACA